AGCCGCAACGACAAGTCCTATTGGTTGTCAACAAATGCACCCATTCCGATGATGCCTGTCAGTGAAGAGGCCATTAAAAACTACATTAGCCGATGCACAGTTTGCGAGGCACCGGCCAACGTGATCGCAGTTCATAGTCAGACGCTGGAAATTCCCTATTGCCCAACCAACTGGACTTCACTCTGGATCGGCTACAGTTTTGCAATGGTATTCGCTAAAATTCATTATTTTGAACAAATTAAAAACTTTTCCTCTCTTTTTCTAGCACACTGCTGCTGGTGCCGAAGGTGGTGGACAGTCTCTTTCTAGTCCTGGCAGTTGCTTGGAAGACTTTCGAGCTACGCCATTTATCGAGTGCAATGGCGCTCGGGGAACGTGCCATTACTTTGCCAACAAGTTTAGCTTTTGGCTGACAATCATTGAAAAGAACAATGAATTTCAACGGCCTGTTAGTGAGACACTAAAGGCAGGCGCTTTGCGTAGCAAAGTGAGTCGCTGCAGCGTCTGTATTAAAAATTTCTAGGCCAATTTTAATGTTGACAAGCAAAGCTTTCATTTTATTATTTATTAAGTCTTCTTTACCAAATGTTGTCTCTTTTTAATTCACAAATAAACGTTTTTAAAAAAACACGACGTTGATTTATTGGAACTAGATTAAAAAAATATTGAATATTACAAAGTTTTACCAATCGACACCTTCACAGTTGGCCGATGTGGCAGGCGTCCGCTTCATTTCGTTGATGCGATTCATTGACATTTTCACTACTTGCTGAAAAACCAACTCCAACTCTGATAGCTGAGCTTTGAGATCTGACCCAAACTCTTTACAGCTCTTTCCCGAACTGAGACACGACTCCATAATGTCGCTCACCTCTTCCAACTCTTGATCGCACCGGTCTTTAATTTNTTTTACCAATCGACACCTTCACAGTTGGCCGATGTGGCAGGCGTCCGCTTCATTTCGTTGATGCGATTCATTGACATTTTCACTACTTGCTGAAAAACCAACTCCAACTCTGATAGCTGAGCTTTGAGATCTGACCCAAACTCTTTGCAGCTCTTTCCCGAACTGAGACACGACTCCAAAATGTCGCTCACCTCTTCCAACTCTTGATCGCACCGGTCTTTAATTTCACCCAACTCAAAATAATTTTTGGCGTCATAGTTTTCCTGTGCAATTGACTGCAGTTTGACCAGTGTCAGTAGCTTTTCTTGCACCGTGTACTTGCAGTTTTCAATCAGGGAAAAGCACTCCATCCAGATGGCTTTAAAGTTGAGCCTCTTTTCCAAGTACTCGACAAACTGCTTTGAAACTTGACCAAAAGTGTCTTCAATTTCTGAGCCAATGTCAATCTTGCCGACAATCTTTTTGTACGTTTCTAAGTGCGCCGACAACTGCTCGGCTCGTTTAAACAGGTAGCTGGCGTAGTTGTCAGAATCAGTGTGCGTCAGGGAGAGCTTGGCCAGAACTGTTTGCATATCTTGGACCTGTTTGCAGTCGTCCTCGACGGTAGTCAGGTCATCAAGTGCTCGGCGCTCTAGTCGAATCAGTGCGAGCAACACTTGCGGAAATGCCTGGTCAGGGTGCTCTTTTGCATCAATTTTCAGTTTGTAATCAAAACATTTGCACATAATTGGTAAAAATAATAGCACTTTAAATGACACTGAGAAACATGAGGAACACAACACTCAGTGTTGAACACTGTCTCTCTTGAATAGTACTCGCCAATTCTGCGCACACGAATTGTAGCTGCTACTGGAAGCGAGCCAACACTTTCTTAAAATAGCATCACCACAAGTCAACTTGTGAAATCAAAGTAAAATTTATTGCTACAAAAACAAAAAAAAACAAGAGATTTCTTGACGAGTGCAGACTAGAGTTGAAACAGCTAAACAAGACACCATTTGCGACTATGCAGTTGCACATTTCAAATGTGTTTTAAAATTGCACTAGACAAAGACAAGTGTAAAATGCGCGTGTCATGTGCAGTTCAATTGGGCAGTGAAAGTTGGTGCAACACCTACAGCAGTCGTTAAAAGAGCTTGGCTCTCCTTTTAAGCTCGTTTCGTTTCCATTCTGGCAGTCGGTAAAACTCCATTCGATTCATTCCAAACAGGTACTCAAATTCAGAGTTTTGCAAGTGGCGCTCCAAATGACACCGGTCAACGTCTACAAAGGTAGGTCAAACAATTACATACTAGCAAAACAAGGCCGTTTCCCTTACCTGGTGGCAGTCTATAGTTGTTGGTAATCAACAAGTGGTAGGGGTACTGACGAGGTGGCTCACTTGAATGGTGGTGGTGCAGGTTCACATTGGGCATTGACCTTCGCAAATGCGGACTGTAGGAAGCATATCGATAGCCCGAATAGCCCTCTGAAAAGGGAGTTGTGCGAAAAGTGCCACTGGCGCTGTGGTTCTGCAGTGGGCAAAAACGTTAAAACATTTTCAAACCACTCTAGTAAAATCTTACCATGTACTGGCCGAGATGACTGCCAGCCTTGTCGTTTTGGTCAGAGGCTATTGAAACTGAGAAAAAATGTACCCTTTATAAAAAAAAACTTACCAAACAAAAGCCAAACTACTTACTGTCTGATTTTCCGCTACTAAATTCGATACTTTGCGTCTTTTCAAGCTGGTAGCTGGGTGATTCATGGCCCTGCAGTGACAAGCATTAGTTGATTGAAAACAAAAAAGACCAATAAACATTACATTTTCCCGACTACTCATATTTTTCAAGCCGTATCCAGGTTTAGGTATGTGCCGCAGCGAGGACACCACTGGTGCAACCGAAAGAAAACAAAAACAAAAACAGTCATTTAGTCTTTACTTTATTCACCGCCGCCTTCACTCACTGTTGTAGTTTATATATGGCTGACTTCGGGTAATGGTCGAGTTGCGGTAAAACGACTGACCCTCATAGTCTTCATACTCTTCCCACGGCTTTGGTCTGTCCATGTCTCTGGAGGGCGCTGACGCGTATCAAGCAAAGTAAATGAGGCGTTTCAATCAAACATCGATTCGGCAGTTACGTACAAGCATTGACTGGATTGTCATAGCGAAGGCGAATGGGAATTTCCGTCTTGGCAGAAGGTGTCCGCGAAGACTTCCTCGGGTCTAAATTCGCCTTGCGATAGGCCATCACTTTTTCTCGCTCCTTGACAGTCTTCAAAAAGACTCGGCCAATGCCAGAGGAAATTTTTGAAAGCTCTTGCTCCTCCTTTTTCAGCTGAGGATCTATCCTAGCAGTTTCCCCTTCGATGTTCTCTTCAATTTCGTCCAAATCATCGTGAGAGCTGTAAAACTTTCTTCGCTGCGGATCAGTATACGGAAACTGCAAGCAAACAAACATTCGGTTTATTGCAAATGAGCGCGAGAACGAGACCAAACGTACCGGTGGAGCAGGAAAGTCGTCCCTCTCAATGCAAGGCACCTCATGCTCATTGGGCTTTTTGGCGTTTGGATAGTGCGCCAGCTCAATCGGCTCTTCATTGTTCATTGAAGGCGACTTGGGCCGCGGCGTGGTAGACTGCAGGTGGTCCACCATTGCCTGCATCCCTTGACGGGACATCTTCGTGGGCGTGTGGCGCTGCTTGTAGTGGTAGTCTGCAGCGGACAAAGTGTCAGACATTGAGCGGACAACATGGCAGTACTATTCAATATACCTGCTGGTCGGTGAAACTGTGGCGACTTTGGCGGCCGTGGCTCGAGTGGCTTGCGCAAGTATCCCTGAGTGGGCTCTGCCGTCAGGTAGCTGTACGTGTACACTCGACTCAGGTCATTCAACGGCACTTCTTTATCCAAATACGGACTAGAGCGGCTTGTCTGCAAATGAAAGAAAATGCTGAAAACAAAACAACAAGGCAAGAAGAGGACAACACAATCGACACAGAAGGGCACACTGGAAAGGCATGCAGACACACACACAGACGCATAAGCAACGAACCTGTCTGGACAAGCGTCCAAAGGGACTAATTGAGCGGGATTTGGTGCTGCTAGACATGCTGGGGCTTTCAGCTCGGTAATACTAGTAGTGGCGATGGCCATGGGCAATGCAAATATCGTTAGAGTGGCAGTAGGTTTGGGGCAAGCATGCGAGGTTGATGTAGTAGCCTAGTGGCAACGCCAGCTCACCTGGTTCTCAAACTGCCCGTCCAGCATTTCCAGCTTCTCTCCCGGCCCTGGGCCGCACCGTGGATGCCAAATGGCAGCCCCCTGAATGTACATTTCTTCGCCGTCGCTGAAAATGTCACCGCACTTGGTGCAACGGGCGCAGGTAGGGTGAAAGTGATTGTCACCGGCCTGAAGGACCTTTCCCGTAATGTACCGTCCACAGTGGTGACACTTGATGCCGAATTGTTTCTAAAACAAAGCGTGATTAGCGTCTTGCTCATAAGCAATTCAATACATACTTGGTAGTCCTTTTCACAGTACACTCGTCCATCCTTGTTCAGGTACTCGCCGTGAAGTATGGTACCGCAAGTTTCACATTTAAAGCACCAAATGTGCCAGTGCTTTTCCAGGGCAATCAACGCTTGACCCTCTGAAATTTCGCCATGACAGCTACTGCACACTGCTGGGTAGAATGGTGAGCATCAGCACTGCTTTTAATTACAGTCAGTCAAAGCTTACCAGGGGCTACATTGTCTGCGTCATTGTGCGCCGTTGAGACGACCGGAATTTGAATGCACTTGGCACAAAGACATTCTTTTCCAGTCCATGTGACCTTTTCTCCCGTAGCAAAGGATTGACTGCAATTTAAAAAACATTGTATACAGTTTGAAAAACTCCAAGACAGCCAAAATCACTCACTTGCATCGGTGACAGCGAAAACAGCTCTGGTGGTAGGTGTTGCCCAGTGCCGNTCAAAGCTTACCAGGGGCTACATTGTCTGCGTCATTGTGCGCCGTTGAGACGACCGGAATTTGAATGCACTTGGCACAAAGACATTCTTTTCCAGTCCATGTGACCTTTTCTCCCGTAGCAAAGGATTGACTGCAATTTAAAAAACATTGTATACAGTTTGAAAAACTCCAAGACAGCCAAAATCACTCACTTGCATCGGTGACAGCGAAAACAGCTCTGGTGGTAGGTGTTGCCCAGTGCTGTCACCACTTCGCCCTCTACGAAGAGGTTGCAAGCGGCGCACTTGGCGCCAAAAGACTGCTGGTAACACTTTGCACAGTGGTACGACGTTTCGTTACCAGCGGTGTGCGTAAAGAAGCCACCTTGCGCAAGCGAGTTTTTGCATTCTGCCAAAAAAGATTATTAGAAGATGGTGGCGGTGGTGGTGACTACCAGTTCGCCTTTACCTTTACATCGGAAGCAGTCAATGTGAAAGTACGTCTGGCCAACTCGAAGCACATTGCCAGAGCACTTTTTTGAGCAAGCTTCACACAAGACTTTGCCTGTAATAAGTTAATAGTAATTAGTACAGATTGGCAATTAAACATAGCAAGGCCATAACAACAGACGGCTAGGAAAAATGCTCTCCTCTCCTTCTCGTTAAAGGCATGGCTCCAGTAAGCATTGAGCAATAGTCATTTGCCAGTTTGGTCCATTTGTTCACTCAGTGAGCAGTGGTGTGTGCAATGTGCGTGAACCACAAGTGATGCTTTGTCTCATTCCTTCTTTCATTCGCTCACAAGCAACGCCCAAAACTCTTTATAAACTATGGTCACAGATGAGCTGCTCCTCTGTGCTAGTGTGGGCAAAATTAAATCATCTGGGGTCGCAAAACTATCCATCCAAAGTTTGTGTCTAATCAAAATATTTTTGCAGTGTTTACAAGTCGATTCAAGTAGATTAGTCCTTGGTGAGCAATCCTGGCGCTCCTTTTCTAAAGCATCAACCGATTGCGAGAAACTAATCAACCAGCAGACATTGACGACTGACAGCCCCTCATGGCCTACATGGGCGACATTTGAGTTGCCATCAATATGTGTGTGTGTGTGCCATACTGAACTGCAGTGTGCACAGCAAACTTTCCTTTAATGGAAATGAACAGTCAGCCATCGTGCTGCTTCAACTAAAAATGACAAATTTCTGAAGCTTTCTACCTACTCTGCCAAGGGAGTAACTGCGACAGAAATCGACACTGCAGCAACCAGCAGCAAAAATGCAAACGACTAAACTACCATCCTTCCTTCCTTCCTTCCTTCCTTCCTTCCCTTCTCCCATCATTCGACCCGCTCCATTTTGCCGTCTCTCTTTCTCTCTCTCTCTCTCTCTCTC